ATAAAAAACAATGTTTTCGATTTCATTATCTAAATATATACCTTAAATTATCATATCATTTTATAAAAATATTTATATATCATTTATTAAATACACTAAAGTTTCGATAGATAATTACTCTCTATATCCGATTTTAAACTTCTAAAATTAAAAAAATTTACTTAAGTCATCATACTTCAATAGATAGAATTCATTTTATCATTATTATTATTTAGATCATTTTGAAGTTTTAGGAACATTTAGATTGGCCGATGCAAGTAAAGAATAAAAAAATTACTTAATTAAATTCTGAAAATCGTAACAAAAATTTAATTATTGTGTAAAGTTATTTCTTAAATTTCAGAATACTTTTTCTACTGTTTTTTTTGGCGGGAGAATGGAGTTATGAACCTTATAAAAAAAAATTGATCTTATGGAATAAATTATGCGAAGATTAAATATCCAATCAATAATGAGAAATTAAATATAATCTTAAACTTTAAATTATTTTTAAAAAAGATGAGTTTTGATGACAGATTAGTAGAAATAATTTCATATATTTTTTTTCATTTTTATAGACATATTAACTTCCTAATTGGAACAAAAATTCAATCAAACTTCAGGTTCAAAATAATCTCTTTTATTATTATATTTTACAAATATCAATCATTTTAAAATTCTTTTAATATCTGTAATTATAATTTTTCGTTAAATCATGTTTCAAGAAAAATACTATTGTAATCTTTCTTTTCTTTCTTTTTTCGCGTTTATCTTAGTAGAATAATTTTGGCCTTGTTAAAAGCTATATATTAGCTAATTTATTCTAGGTTTTTTAGGTTATTGTATCCTTTCATGACATCTAATTTAAATTACAAAAAACAAATTCGTTTTAAACTTGATATCTCTCTAATTCATTTATTTATTAATAAATATTAAAGGGATAAATATTAAATTTAATATTTTAAAATAAATACGATAGGAGAATATAAAGAAACGAGGAAATCAGGCCGGAATGCAGAGGATAGAAATATATTATTATTGATTAGAAATTGTGAAATTTTTAGAAGACAGTGAGAAAGCTAAGATAGTAGATCAAATGATACTCGCCTAAAATTGTCTCCCCTATGCGCAGGTTTTCGTTTAACGATCAACAAATATTTAGAGATAGATAATGATTTACTACCAACTTTTGTATCAAATGTGGTAAAATATTTTAGACGATAGATTTAAGAGGTGCATTTTTACCATTCTGAGTTATTCCAGATTGTAGGGACCTTTTAGTAATTTCGACTCATTTCGGTTATTAGCCATATTGGATTGACTAGCTCTCCGATAATATTTAAACGCTTTATGCAAACCCTACAAGGGAATTCCTGCGTTTGGCGTATTTTTAGACGACGTAATAATTAATTGCGGACGAGTATTGATCATGTGGTTAATCTAGAAAAAGTATAAAACCGGACTGGCAAGGAGGACGGACCGATCAAATTAAAAATGGAGAAAAATTGGTTACTTATTTGAGTCTTTTTTACTAACAAATTGGGAAACCGACGATAGGATTATTGCCATATAAAATTGTAAAACTCCGTCAAATGTGAAAGAATTACGTTTCTTTCTTGGGATCGTGAATTACTATGAGTCGTATATACAAAATTTACATTTTATTTGTACGCCCTTTACACCAACTAAAGACTAAAAATGTTAGTTGGCTTTGGTCAGTTCGAGAAAATTAAATATTTAATAAAGTTAAAATATATTATCAAAAGAGGATACAATAATTCTTTATTGAGCCAATATTCCTGTCGTAGATGATCTAGGAGCTGCTGTTATTGCATACCGATTTTTTACTGGCCTAGAAAAAACGATCACTTTCGCATTAAGAACACTTTCGGCGGCTAAAAATAATTACGTTACCATTGAACGGGAGACTTTGGCGATCATGTTCGCTATTGGTAAGTTCCATCAATATATTTAAGACATTTTATTATGATTACGTATCACCCGATGATAATAGAAGATATCTAAAACCGTTTTTTCGGCGCCGAAATGAACTCACGATGGAGGCAGGGAGTATATTTTAGGGATTAAGAACCATAATTCCCCAAAAAAATTACAAGTTAATATTTTGTCTTTTTTACATATAGGGCGGCACATCAGGGTTAAAATTATAGGCCCAGGAGAACGTTGAATATTAACGAAACATCGAAGTACACGGTAAGAATTTTGAACAGAATTCATTTAGATTTTGCCGGACCAATTAACGGAGATATATATATCTAATAATAATAGTTTTAGTAAATGGCCTGTATAATATAAAAACTGTCGACAATTTTACTGCTATGTTACCCCAATACGATTGTTACGGATAATGGGCTCCCATTTCAAAGTAGAGAATTCCGTTAATTTTACAAAACAATTATCAATTAAAAATGTATAGGGCGCCCCGTTACCACCCTAGAACCAGCGGAGAAGCGGAGCGGTTAGTACAAACGTTTAAAAAAATTTTTAAAAAAAAACGTGATTCTAATAAAATACAAGAATTTTTTTGTTTAATTATTCTAAATACGCCACAAATAACTACAAAACAATCACCAAGTTCAATTATATACTTAAATTTATACCCATAGGACCCTTAGAATTAATAAAACCAATTTATCCTCATCCATACATACCCCAGTTATCAGGTTTTTTTAAAAAATATAAATGAGAAAATATATGCAAAAGATTTTAAAAAAGATATTTGGATTCCAGGTATCATCCTTAAAAGAACAGGACCAATGATGTTTTTTAGCTGAGACTAAATTAGGTTTACGGAGAAGATAGTTAAAATGAAGGAGAAACGATGCAAACTACATCAAGAATGGATAAAAGTGATCCTATATAAAACTAGATTGCTAAAGACATCGATCCTAAACATGACTCGATGACCAAAAACATTGTTACTTATACAAGACTCAATAACCAAAGAGAGCATCATAAATGAAAAGATTGAAATCGACAGTACAGATCAACCCGTGGTAGTAAGTCCAAGTAACCGCTATCCAAAACGGATAAGAATATAATTTATACCGAGGATAGATGTAATAGAATGAATTTACCTTAAAGGCAATTAATAATATGATTAATTATATATTCAAATATATTGTTAATTGTGTATGATGATTAATTGATGTATTTTAGATTGATTTGTAAAAGATATACAAACTGAAGTACAAACTATAGTTAAGACAGTTATAAAAAATAAAATAAATTGTACAATCTATCAGGAACCCCCCCCCCCTCCCCTTCGATAGGATATGTTGTAGAAATTTATTAATAAAATTTTGAAAACCGGTGTCGACTTCTACCGGTACTTAAATTAGACGTGGTTTCAAGTGTTCCAACCTTGGATTTCAGGCCAAAAACAATAAGCACTCTTTAAATAAACGGCGCAACATTTTAAACTAATTCCACTACGACGATCAACAAATGTAACACGATTTTTGCCCTGACACGATTAGATTTTTTTGACATTTTTGTACATATCGTGGCCTACGTACCTAGGTATGGGGGCTGAAATCACAAATTTTGAAATGCAAATAAGCCCATATTAAACGAAAGGAGATAGGTGTCTCCTTGCTGGATATTCTCCTCTTGGGGCTTTACAGTGTGGCCGAATTGTGGGTTAGGATTCTTTGCCATAATAACTGAGGACAGGGGTAAATTGGAAAAATAGGTTGTACAAAAATAATTCATTTTAGTCCTTCCATCTTGTTTTTTATGAATCTCAGGTGAACAAATTTATTATAGCAATTTAAATTAGATATCTGCAAAAGTAGGGGCCCGGCCCGTATTTTTTAAGAAATTTCGAGCCAGGCGGACCTTAGAAATTTGTTAAAATATATCTTAAATTAATCAATTTTATGTTGAATTTTTTTATGTAAAATAAAAATATGTGGTTTTTATTTATAGAAAAGTAGACGCCATATAACATATCGTTTTTTTTGAGTAATTATAAAAATTAGTTTCTATAAAATTCGGGCAAGGCAGGCAATATTTTTTTTAAAAAAATCCGGGTTCGGGCCGGTTTTATAAAAAAATTCGAACCGGGCCGGGCTTGATAAATTAGGCCCGATGCAAATCTCTAATTTAAATTTTAAATGCCGTTTTTATTTTTTAAATTATTTGTACTTCTAATTCGAGCAGTTTTATTCTTATTAAAATCGCTCTAAAAATTAAATTTTTTTTTCAAATAAAAATCTCGTACAATCTTTGACTCATCCAGTTTGAACAATATTAATTATAGAGACGTGCCAGATTAGAGTCCGAATATAATGTGCTGACATTTCACAACATCAGTAAACCCCTATAACCGTAAATTTCCCCAAGGACGAAATGGTATTTCTAATATCTAGAAGGATATTTTTGAGGACGAGAGCCCTGACAACCTATAACAGATATTATATAGATAGAGACGCGCCAGATTAGAGTCCGAGTATAATGTGCTGACATTTCACAACATCAGTAAAGCCCTATAACCGAAAAACCCACGAAATGGTATTTATGAAATCTAGAAGGATGGGCCCTGACAGCTTATAACAGATATTATATAGATAGAAACGCGCCTAGAGTCCGAATATAATGTGCTGACATTTCACATCAGTAAACCCCTAGAATCGAAAAAGCCCAAAGGATGAAATAAATATTTCTGAAATCTATAAAGATATTATTTTCCAATAGTGCATATATCTAGTCCATCCCTGATATAGCCTACATCAGATCTTAGGTGATCCGATAGAATTAAGAAATGGAAATTAAACCAATGGAAATAGGAACCTTTTGGGATGATATGCCCATATGGGTTAGATCACATATTTTTTTCTTGTATAAATAGTTCAATTTCTACAAATAATAGGGATAAATAAAAAATGATTTTATTTTACGAGAATAGTAATGTAAATGTTATATATTGATAACGGTAGTATGTTACAAAAAACATAATTCGATTAAATATAATATAATATATATAAAAAAGCGCGAATTACAAAACAATTGCATTATAAACCATTATATTTATATGAAATTTAAAATTTATCGCTTTAAAAATGGTTTTCAAAAACCAATTTTTTTTTACTATATTGCACTAAGATGTGTTTTTATTTAAGATTAGAGCTACTGTGCTTGCTAGAAAATCTATTCTTTAATGGTTCATTGGGGCATAATGGTCCACTTAAACAAAAATAAAATAACAACCACCATATACTAAACATTACAAAAAATCTTTTTAAAAAGTAATTTTATTTCGAAGGAGATCATATTTTTTTTCATTATGAGTTAAGGGTCCCTATAAAATTATATTCGAGTCACTAATGAATTTATAATTGGAGAAAAATCTTTGGTGTGTTAGCTACTCGTTTTCAACGTTGTAAGTTAAGAGAAAATAAATCGGCCCGATATTACACGTCCAGGTAGGCCCTTAGTCCACTATTTAACAAATTATAATTGGAGGATAAATTGATTCCAACTGGCGAACCAGAGGAAGGAATCGGAATTTGAGCGTTTTGTTGGCTTTCTTCGTCAATGTATTCCATATTATCACCCGCCAAAAGGTCGATGTCATTCAGGGTGTAAGAATGGCCCAACGCGTTTCCGGGCGTTTCTGAATTTTTCGATAATAAGCACTTTTGATCCACCTTTTCCGAGGCAATCAAATCGTGTGAAAAGCGTTTATTGAGCCTACTAAGCCTGTCGCGGGAATCGCCATCCAAAAAGGTTATCTTGACATAGTTATTCTTCTTTCCACGCCCTGTTAAACTCTTGGAATCGGGAACTTTGACACTTTGACCCGATGCCATCTCTACCCAACGTTTTTCTAATGCGGGGTATTTGTTTTTCGCGTGCGGAAGTCTGAAGGCGTCCTTCACATTTCTCCATTTATCAATACTATTAATCGAAAGACCATTACTTAGATATTTGATTGTCTTATTCTGACAGTTATCTTGAGGGAATGTAGTTTTGTCTTTGGAAATGTAATCACTTCTATGTAAATTAGTTTTGGGAGATGTTTTCGAGGCCTTAGCAAAGAGGTTGGCCCATTTGGGCATTATTTTGTTATTCTCTGAGCTGGCATGATGTTTGGAATGGAGGATGATTCCTTTGGGTAATTCGGGATTAGAGGGGGTGACCGGTGCCGATTTAAGAATCGAATATTTGAAACGCGTAAAGGGAGTTTTAAAAGATTCCGTTACTTCCCCATAATGGTTGCAATTGGATAGAGGGGTATTCATTATATCCGTCGTGACGATAGGTGAGGAGAATTTAGACGGATTCTTGTAACGATGAGCCATGGCCTTAAATTTGGAACCCCACTCTTTTAACGCGGTTAACGGAGAGCCCCTGTTCGATTGCCTACTCTCCAAATTTTTATTTATCATATGGTTAGACATTGGCGTAAGTGCAAAAGGCGTTTTGGCCCGATTTTTCAGGTTTAGAGTAAGCGGTCTTTTGACGATACCCGTTGCGGCATCATCTGAATCTTTTATCATCTCCATATTCGCAGGGGATTTTTCGGGGTCGTGTTGAGGATAAATATGGTTCTTTAGATCGTAGCAGCTCCTCGTATCGTTTAAATAGCTTTGGTCAAGATAATATGATTGCGGGAAGGTAGGTATCACTATGGTGTCTAAATTTAAATTTCTAGGCTTTTTGATCTTTTTATATATTTGCGATTCATTCTTAAACTTTCTGTTGCTGATAGATAGTGAGCTATGAGACGAAACTATCTTAGATTCCTCAGGGAGTATGCAGATATCCATTTCTATTATTCCATCTCCACGCATCTCATTACGGCAATCATCGCGAACAACTAACCCCCCGTTATCATCAAATAAGTTGACGTTTAACAAATTGTTGTCATATACATAACTATCTTCGCTAAAAGTGAGTCCAGCCAAAAGAGTACTAGGGGATACCAAAATGGGAGATTCGAGAATGCTGGCACCAAGAATCGTTGCAGGTGTTACAGGAGAATTATCAAAGTTGGAGCACAGCCTTTTATTTGGTGATTGTACAGAATCTTTCTTATTCTTACCGCCGTTCCGAGGGCTGTTCGTTAGGTCAGCGATAACCGCGTTAGGATTATTAAAGCCCGTTGGGTCGGGAATAGACGTTAATTGTAAAGTTGAAGGCCTTTTAACGCCGGTATCGTCTTTGACTAAACGCGTTTCTTTTGGCGCACCCGAAACTAACGACGATTTGGCATTATTATTCTCGGTAACTCGAACGCTAGCGTTCAAGTTTAAATTCAAAAAGCTTGGCTTTTTCGGCACAGGTTTGATTTGCAACGAGTTGGGCCTCTTCAAACTGGCGCCAACTTTGCTGGTATCGTTGACAGCCGACGTTTTATTGCTCTCGTAATTTTTTAAGACCGTGGTGGCGTCGCCGGGAGTAAAAGAGGTAGAATTTTCTAGTCTCTTCCCGGGAGACTTGAGCAGAAGTTTCTCGTATTCCAACAGCTGACCCATGAAATTGAAGTTAGGCGAAATACCGACCCGCTTCGATTTGACGTACCTAATTTATAATAAAAAATTCAAAATTTTATTTCATAATATTGACCTCGATTTTCATTTGTTAGAAAAAATTATAAATGATGTATCACGTGCATTACGTCATAATTTGAGTAAAAACGTTGTAGCCCGAGAGGCATTCGTGGGGTTTAATATTTTAATTTGTATTCCCTTTTCAAACACATTTTTTTAAATAGTTAATATTTAAAATTTAAATCATTTATATAGGGCTCGTTTTGATCAGCACCAATATGGGAGAGCCAGCCAATTCCTCCCTCGGCAGCGAGGACGAAATTTGGCTAGCCTCCTAAGATTGGTCAAAATTTTCCATAATGTCTCAAAACGAGAAAGCCTTAGATTGGACGATCGATCAGCCAATCGGACAACCAATAGGGCCCATAGAGTCCGATTGGTATCTTCTTAGGTTGACGGATAGACGCAAGGCGTTCGTGGGGTTCGATATTTTATGAATTTGTATTCCTTTTCAACACATATTTTTTAAATAGTTAACATGTAAAAATTTAAATCTTTTTAAAATTTTTATAAGGACCTCATTTTGTCAGGATCGTATCATTATTCCTAGTGAGGTTAAACAGCTCGATATGGGCCGCTTTCTTAAAAAACGGCTAACTTCGATTTTGCTCGTAGATGGCACCATCTAATAGCGAAATTTTGAGGCTTATGCAATATTTTTTTTTGGCTAAAATACTGAGTTCGCGCCGGTTTTTAAAAATCGGCGCAAATCGAGCCGTTTAACGGACGCTAATTATTCCACCATCCATATCGTACACCTACCTACCACATAAATTTACGGCAATTTCCCCGCGAAATTCTGGGGTAGGTACTTATACATCTGGAGGAATGTAATGATTATTTATAAAAAAAAAATTAAAATTTGAGCTAATAAATTATTTGAATTTTAAAAGATTTGTACGGGTTAAGCTAAATTCCTTGGTACCCTAAGACATTAATATTTGGTTTACTTGTACGATTGCTCCGATGTCATGCCCAGGTACTTCATTATGTAAGCGATCGTGAGGGAAGGGGAGCGGGAGATCCCGGCTAAACAATGAATCAGCACGGCCTCGTTTTCGTTTTTGGCGCGTTCTAAGTAATTAACAAAAATCGAAATCGAATGGAGGTATAAGCATTTAACCAACATTTGATGTTATATGGAATATCAGTTATTTCTTAATCCCGCATTTTCTCACCCTTCCCGAGCATCATTCCAAATTTAAAAATTAAAAAATCAATTTCGCGGTGCGTTGTTGTTATTAACCTATAAACGCGAAGGATTCGTCCAACCAGGCCATCATATCGGCGTCGTAATTGTCGTTTATGGGTACGCGCATAAATTTGTATTTATCGTTTAGCTTTGCGAAGTCGGGCTCTGGGCAGGACGTGCTAACGTTCAATATGTAGGTAATTCCCAATTTCTGGATATTTTTTTTGGTAAAATAAATTTCTGTTAACTAAAGATTGATGTGGTCGCGAAACATAAACTTCTTTCAACACGAATTTCATTTTGTTCGAAAACTAAGAAATGGATTCCGATTAAAAGACAAAATCACGTAAATTTCGCTTAAAAGGCAGCGAAAAAGTATAAATATAGTGGGAATTTATTTCCCAAATTAAAAAAAAAATTCCAAAAATTATAGCTCAACACCGGAAAACGTTCAATTCTTTTTCAATAAACCTCTAATGTCGATTGATTTAGAGCATCTTCCAATGAACCGACATACAAATAGGGTAGAATCTTGGTCGGGCCTTTATTGGCGTCCTCGCGATCATCCATTAAAGCCGGACCACTTGCGGTATCGTCGCTGCTTACAGCTTCTGACGGCTGGAAATTGTGATGGGATGATTTTGGGGATTTGGCGCAAGAATTGGGATATACGCTGGAGAAGGTATCAAAGGTTCCTGAATATCGCGACAACAACGACAAAAAACAAAATATATTTACATATCAGATAAAAGGCAATAATATGGACAATAGCAAAATCGATATAATTATGATGATTATTATTATTATTCAATTTAAAACCAATATACATTTTTTATTACTAATTTCAATTTATATGCAGGCTTTCTTGATCGAGGGATAAAAACTTATAAATAACAATATTAAATTATTATTTCGTTTTCAAAATGTAACTTAAAATTATATAAGGGGATTACAATTCCAAAGATTAGGTCCAATTTAAATAAAAGTGATATTAAAACATTTGATAAGTATACCATTATTCAAAAAATCTTTTTGCAACTATACCCAACATTAGCATATATATATATATATATAATAAGGTGGGATTTAGAAAGTTTCGGCAACTCATCTGAAATTAACATTCGGTTATACCTGCTGCAATTTAACAATAAAGTAGAATCACTAATTTAGCTAAAATAAATTTTGGGTGAGAATTAGTGATCTACCTCGGGCCTAATCTTTCAAGCACGGCCCGGTCCGTACCCGTATTTTTTTTAAAAAATAATTAACCCGGCCCGTCCGAATTTATTTAAATATAAAAATTAATTTTTATAATTACTCAAAATAAAAGATATATGTTAAATCAGATCTCTCGACATTTAAAAAAACGAGTAAGCTATAAATAATTAATCAAGGTTTTAAAAATTTCCCTAAAAAAAACGCTGGTCAAAGCGTATCCCAAGAATCTGTTAGACCCCTTGCGACATATTATATTAATTTTTTTTTTCTTCTAAAATTTAAAAAAAAACCTTTCATCCAATAAACTCCCACATTCCTCAACTCGGGACAGGGTTCGGACAATTCGGCTCTTCCGTTCTCCAGTTCCCGAAAAAATTTGGACGCCATATTGTTATCGCCGTTTTCCAATTTTTTGGACTTTCTGGGAGCCACCATTTCTTCGTTCATCGTTTGGCTTCGTTCGTAAACTATGACCTTGATTTTGAGAGTCCCGGCTGCCGACATTTTAGGGGAATCGTGGCGTCGAGGCTTCAGCGCGTTGAGCGGGAGAGACGCGCGCGGCATCAGAAAGTGCCCGTACAAGAAATTTTTGATGCAGAGTTTGCCGGACTTGAGCCGACGCAAAAGTATTTCAGGCCCGGGAACGTGAATGGCGTTTTTGATGTGGTTCGAGTTGTATTGAGCCAGGGATCCCAGGTCTACCAAAACAAAATCCTTAGATATTTTTATTTTAAATTAAATAATATGAAAGAATGACACATAAATTAATTTTTCTAAAAATTGACCATTGCTCGAATTCCGTCGTGTAACGGCGAACCGATAAGAAAAGGACTAAAAGGGTCGCTCATAAAATTTGGCGATAAGTCGAATTTGAAGCTAGAATGTGAGAGGGTTCGATATAAAGCGATTTAAATAATTTATTTCGTGCTTTATAAAAAATATTTGATTTATATACTCATCTTACATGGGATAGGAGGATAATAAATATATTTTAATATAATAAATTATTAAATATATTATGTATGACTCTAAGTTATATTTAAAAAAAAAAAATATTACATTAGTAGGATAACGAATATATTTTTAAATAAATTATTAATTATTATGACTAGTTAAAAGATGACTTATCGTATTATGACGAAACTTTTCCCGGTAAAAAAAAAAATTACAAAATAAATAAGCTTAAGAAGCGCGTCTTGAATAAAATGTTTTAGCTTATTAATAATATTCGAAGCAACATTGATTTTTTAAAAAATAAATTAAAATTTTAAACAGAGTTATAAAAGATATGATTCACAATGGATGATAGATAAGAAAGAGATAAAAAAAAAAAATTATTTTTACAAAAAGTAATAAAAATATATATATTAAGGATAAAAAATATTGTTCATTCCAATCGCATGAGTATATAAGAATGGATTAATCATTGAATGGGAATATATATGTATATAAAAAAAGGAAGATATGATTCGTCGAATAACACGCGCCGTCGCAGTTTTATATGATCGTATTTAAGAGTTGCCACCAAGGGTACAAAATACATCGCCTAGATTAAGATTTCGGCTAAAATAATATTGCGTGTACGCATCTAGATTTGGCGAAACAAATGTTCCAAGCATTTTTGCCAGATATGAGCAAAATCTTCAGGGGCTTACACATTGTTATTTTGGTTATAACGAGATATTCATAATTGAGCCGTTTTTTTTTTAAATTTTGGCAACACTATCGCCTAGTGTTGTGTTGGGCTTCCCAACAACAACAACCAAAAATGGTCCAAGATTATAATTTATGCATTGGTGCAAATCCAAATTTAGCATTGAAACTATATAAAGATTATCAATTAGAATTTTCTAATGAATTGTAGTAAAATAGTCAGTTTCGAATTAAGATCTTATTGCGATAATATATGTCCTACTGCCATATATGACAAAATCTACAGGGCTTGCGAAATATGATTTGGCTAAAATAGCCGTTGTTAAAAAATAGAGCTGTTTAACATCAATTAATCATTAGTTTTAGATTTTGATAATTATTGATATTTTTTTTATTAGTTTTGAATTGAGTCGATATTTCAATCGAATACAAATATTTTAAAAAAATCTAAAATCTGCTTTTTTCGAAATCTCAACTATTATCCATCGGTCAGAAGGAAGCGCCAAGCAACACCGGTGTTAGCACCAATCTCAGCAAACTCAGGTTTTCCCTAAACATGTTCCCATAATCATATATAACCAATCTTACAGTTATCTCTTCAGGTGTCCGAACCACCTCAATCACCGGTCTCTCTTAATCTATCCATATCAGCCACCCACCCAAACTTTCCCGCATTCTTTATTGATTCCTAACCTTAACTTAACTAGGAATGTGCATTTCCGTTACTCCCCATCATTTCCCCTTCGCTCTTCTTCGCCAACCAACATTCCGAAACATAGACACCGGTTTTCCCACCATGCTATAGATTCTATTCTTCGAATATTCGGTAAGCACTTATACAACAAGAACCCGCTAGCGTCTCTAAATTTTAACAAAGATCTTAAGTTCTATTTCAACCCCCCCCCACTCCTATTGGTGCCTTTAAACAGCTATAATTCTTGGTGGGGACAATTTTAAAGCTCTTATCGGCAGACCATTCCACCTTTAATCCTCACCATATTATAATTTGTAAGGTCCGAATAAGATCCAAACAAAAATTAATTACAAAGTAATTTTATTGAGGAAAAATACAATTTTATTGCTAGGAAAGTGCATTATTTTCAAGGAGAACGATAACGAAAATGATAAAAAATTTAGTGTTTTTCTTGTAAAAAGATTTGTTAAGAGGGGGATGGGGGGGGGGGGAGTTAATAAAAATTAAAATTTTGACGATGTCAAAATCTGACCGTACTATACGGAGTCTGAAACAATGTCTCTCCGAGGTTCGGTCGGATGGGACAGTTTTGTGGGGTTCCAATAAGAAAAGTAATTTAAAAATCTCGTACATTTAAAATATTTTTTCATATTTTTCTGGGACAAGACAATTATTGGATAAGAAAAAAAAAAATTCAAAAAACATCTGATTTGCCAAAAAAAAAATTTCCGCCATCTAAATTTGGATTTATTACCGTGTATACAATAGAGATTGAGCACGATCTGGCCAAGGATTTCAAGAAAAGATTTTCCAGCCCGGTTCGCCTATCGGCTAGAGCGGGCCGAACTTCCGGCCTGCAGACTTCAGATACACAACTTTTCAAAAAAAAGAAAAATATCTTGCATTTTTTTAGATGAGTCATTTTCTTTCGCGAAAAAAAAAGAAGGAATGATGATTAATTCTAAACAAATTACGATTAAATTAAACCTAACCCTCAAGGGGTATACATTCCTAAAAAGCAAAATTAAACATGACTAAGGGTTTTCACATTGTTAATCGCGATATACGTAGTTTTAATGATATCGCGTGACGTCCGCGATTTTCCTCTTTGCTACAGGACAACTCTATTTTAATAAAATTTGTCGTAATGTAACAATATACGACGACATTAGGAAATAGTTCGAAAAACGAATCCATCTTAACGGCGCGTGAGACGAAGGCCCAAAAATGATTCGGCCAAATACTCGAGTCGCGGGCCGGTTTTTTCAACTCGTTTACGAAGGCGAGTGGAGAGTATTCGGCTAAAAAATCGGAAATAACCGGCTCGAGCTTTGAAATACTGATACCACGTGACTATATTGTTTGAAAAAAAAAATAAACCAATAATAATTATTGGTTGGTAAACATTTTTGTGTGTGCGCGACTTGACTACGAAAATAATATTGATTTGTAATTTTTTATTTGTGTCAAGCGTTTTCGAAATTATCGATCGGCATTTTTTTTTTTCTAAAAATATAAAAATTTGTTACACGATAAATGTGGGGTGGCTTTGATTTTTTTATTTCATTTTTTTGGTTATCTAAATAAATACGCGTCGTTTTACGCCATTTTAACGCTTTTTAGGAAAACGCTAAGACGTTATAGAGACCCTACAGATGTGGGGATATTGAGGATTTTTGTTTGAGGGGGGGGGGAAGAGTCCAAGATCCTTGTGGTACACAGCTTGTAAAAATGTAACGTGATCGATAATCATCATAGTTTTGGGTTATAATGACGGAGCGCGAAAATCGAATATTAGGGATTAGGCCAATAAGTCTAAAATGAGTTCTTTTCTTTCTTACTTGGGAACGTAGACTTACTAACAATTGAATAATAAGGATGTTATCCCTAGAAAGCTCTAGAGTGGTTGCTAGAGTACCTAACATCTTACCCGAGCCTTAACGTTTATAATTTAAGTGAGTCATCTAAGCCCCTAGGGAACGATAATCTTGTGTCCAAGAAATCAGAGATTACATGGCCCGGCCCATTCTGCCCTGGTTTTGTCTGGCCTAGCCCGTATAATAAGATTGATTTAGGTTTGATTTTCCCGGGATAATTGTCAGACTCTAACGACAACCCGCAATTAGTAAATTTAGGATGGCTAGCTTTGGCAGAGGCGTATCGCGAAAATTTTTTATATCTTATGGACCCCTCCTCATAAATAGTTACTTCTTGACACCTCAGATTTATATTTTTTTATGTTTGTAAAGGGTGCATTATCAAATAGAGTGTATATGTAAAATCATTTTTTAAAAAAAATTTGATTTTTTCTAATTTAAATCGATTTATTTTAATATTTAAAATCAGATTTATGAAAAGATAGGATATTATCGAAACTTTAATAGGTGGGAATTTGTGTATATTGAACTTTTTATAAGGTCTTATTCATGTGATATCTTCCTTCATATTAAAGAGGAATGCCTCCATATTTTTATTTAGGCCGTGTCCAAACCCATTTTATAAAAATTCTAAAAGTTTCAAAACTTTCGTAAATTTATTAAATTTTCTAGAATTATGATTTGGACATGATTTTATTTTTATATTTAATTTTTTATTAAAGTTTCGAAAATTTGCGAATTTAAATCTTTTGGATATTTTGGACGCAGCCTTAAATGGAATAGTTAAATATTTTTTTTAAACATTTTTATAAAAATGTAAGAAAATTTACAAATTGAAAGAAGATAAGATACAAAAATCCTTTTTATTGCAATTGCAAATTTTCTAGTATTAAATCTCCTCCAATGAGAAAGATTTTTCCTTAGAAGGATCCTAATGAGGCTTGATAAAACACACTAACAGTTTCCAAGTATGTCTAAGCCAAATGGACGAGTGATACGTAAAATTTGTGAAGAAACCAGAACCCGACAAAATATCGATAAATTAGCCGGTTATAATTATCCGCCTTTAAAAAAATCAACAATTTAAATGTGCTCATTTCAATCACGAAATCTTTGTATGCATTTTGGAGGGCTGGCATACCTGGTGGTGTTAATAATTAAACTACAAACATACTCAGAATCGTTTGGCAAGATAATGTTTCATCTTTCATATTAAAAAATAATGATCAGAAACCTTGTGGGGTTGAAGATCCTTAGGTGATAATACAGGAATGATCAAAATCTTCAATCAACTCAAAACAGGAAAAGAAGAGGAAGAATATTTTCTTTTAAACTTTCAAACCGTTCCGCTCGTGCTATTTGAATTGAAAAGGAACCAAAAAAAATTGTAAAATTTGCAAAAAAATTATTTTTAGAGGATTGTAAGATTTTAAAAAAAATAAACCTATGCCTTATATATATCAAGTTTATCAAGTAATTAATTTATATCGGCATTTAAAATCAGACGTTATTTTTTAATAGCTTAATTCAAATCCTAGATTTTCTTGGTTTAGAAAAGAACCAATAAAAATGTACCTTGTCATTTTGATCTAGCGATTGTGATTCGTCAACTAATCTATTAATTTCGTCAATTTCTATATAGTTTCGAACAGCACCTCCCACTTGACGAAATTGGAACTCGAGTCCTGGTTTGAGCGTTAAATCGATGGGCGCATGCTCGATAACTTGAAATTTGGATTTAGGTTGAAGAGTGGTGGAATCGAAATTTGCGGATTTTATGTACGGTAGATCAGGGTAAGATTTAGAGAGATTGCGCGATAGAGAATAGGTAAATGGTTCCTCTTCTTCGAACAGTGAAGTTGGACAGGCTAGGATGTCGTTGCTCGCCATTTTGAGGTGGCAGCTAATCCCTAGAAGGTGGCTACTATCTTGACCATTTTATATTATCGTCTGAATTATAAGTCAGTCATTTTTGATAAGATCATAATTATCGTGTACGGCAAAATATCTCCATAAAGAACAAGATCAATCGGGTTAGAATTTGGGATTAGAGGATTATCCGAGAATGGCTAACCCCATGCTAGCATTCAGTAAATTTATTTCTACTACGAATATGCGCATCGAATAACATTATCCATATTATATTTTTATATTTAAAGTTATTAAAAACAGTTTACTTTGTATTTACTTATGCAAATATATCTTATCTTATTACGTAGCGATTTTAAAAAGAAAAAAAAACCATTTAAGAGGCGTTAATAAAAAAAAAATATATATATAAATTTTTATATAATGAAATAAAGAGAAAATAAAATGACTCATTTGTAAATAATTTTTTGATAAATATTTATCCCTCAAACAAAAAAAAAATAAAAATAATAAAAAAAAAATTAAATAATTAATAAATAAAATAAACAAGAAATGATATTATTTATTTTTAAATATTTACAAATTAATTAATTAGTTAATCAAATAAAACCGCAAAAGATTTTATGTATACATTGAGAAATAGATATTAGGTCCACGGGGAAAATCACGCGAAATAATTTACCTTGTATAAATTAAAAATTATAATTAAATATGGCGGTCGTTATGTAATATATATAACTTTGTCAAATTATTTATTTTTTTTTTAAATTTAATTTTTTGTCTATTCGTAATTCGTCGAATAATCTCCGTATTCTGGTTCGTTAAATTCTTCGTATTCGGGGTAAAATTCCTCGTTGTATTCGGCATTTAATTGGTGCATCGATAAGCTCGCATTTGATTTGTCGTAATACTCGTAGGACCAATCGTATTTGTACTCGTAATCGAAATCGTAATATTCGCGGTAAAAAAAATTGAGGTAATGTTTTGCCACCTCCTTCATCTTTTCCTTGCCACCATCGTAGTAAGACGGAATGGCATTATGGAATGTCAGGCTCTGGATAATTACCCTTAAATCTTTCGGCACGTAAATGTATTCCTCCATTTCGAGGCGTTTAACTTTATCCCCTTTGATTTTATAATAAGGCGGATGTAGCCATGGCGAGAATAACGTCGCGGCTGTCGCTAAAATAATTTATTTAATTTTTTGATCAATAAAATTCGAATAGTAAATTGGTGTCGCAATTAATGTTTGACGTTTTTATGCTATTTTATATTAAATCCATCCGTGAACCTGTATAATGGTGCACACAAATTGAGCATTTACGTTTCGCCATAATTTTTGTAATTAAAAATTTGAGGTTGCCTTTTTTTATTAATATCGTCGATTCAAAATTTTAAATAAGTTTCTAAAGGGATTTGTCTTTGAAAATTATATTATCGTCTGCTTTCTTATTTGTCGGATATAGGTAAGTTATAATAATGAAAAGGCAAACCTATTTCCGTTTTTTTATATGGTTGCTAACGCCAAACGGTAATTTTACCAATTTGCACGAGGCCATCTAAAATATACAATTCGCGCTTGCAAAGCGTTTGAAACACTCAATTTGTGAGGGGCGTGGTCGAGGCGACAATACGCGAAATTAATTTTAAAAAATGGATTCAATGGTGATTTTTAAATTAACTGAAGACGATATGAAACATGTTATTTACATTTATTTTATATTAATATGTTATGTCGTATTGTTGGGATACATATTTCATTCGTCCAATAATAAAATTTCACGATTACGATAAAAAAGCGTTTTAATTTTTATAAAAATTTATATAAAATTTCATAATATATTCGTTTTTTATTACTTATTAAATGTAAATTTATTATATAAAATAGGTAATTTATCTATAAAAAATAATTTAAATGATTTATGTTATGGTGGAGTTAAATTTTTAGATGTTATACCGTTAATAAGTATATGAGATGAGTAGATAGATGTATTGCATTTAATAAGATTAAAATTATTAGTATGTTTAGATGGATGCAAAACCGGATACGATATCTAATCGGTAATCGGCCGATATTAATTTATTATCGGATCAGATCGAGCTCCAGAAAGTGATATCGGTACATCCCTAACAACATATGCTAGAAATTTCTTATCAAATCAGAGATTTAAAATTTTAAAATCGGTAAATGATTTAAAATCGAGATTTTCCGAATGCCCTTAGTCTTGATCCCAATTCGAACAGTTTTTTCCAGGAATGCGTTATTTTTTCAACTGTAAATCATTTTTTGAGCGCGTTTTTAAAAAAATTTAAAAATCTGATTTTACCGGAAATGTATGCCGCCATGTTTTGGAACACTTACCTTATGAAATTTCAGACATTTTTTTTCAAAGAACTTTTAAACAATATAATTTATATTAAATTTTTCCATATATATTTTATTTATATAAATTATAGATGTCTCAAAGGTTAACAGCAAAATTGTCAACAATTCATTAGAAAGGTGTATTCCAAACATGATAGAATATATTTCCGGCTAAAATCCGCCGAATTTTAAATTATAAAAAAAACGCACTAGAAAAACGCACTAGAAAAACGCACTAAAAAAACAGCATTGACGCTAGCACATATAAATTTAAAAAAAAAAATAGACACAAGATATATGGCGCGAAAATTGATTAAATGTAAATGGCTAGTTATACTCAATACCAGCTGTAATTCGTTACTGTTGGGAAAGATTGTAAACTTTGGTGGGGGGGGGGATATATAGACAAGTTTTTATAAAGAAATATATCCGAAATGTATATCGGGTTCGGTCCGGGTCGGGCCTTGGAAATTTTTTATTAAATATATCTAAATTTATCGATTATATATTATGAATATTTTTATGTAAAATAAAAATATCGGATTTTGTTTATAGAAAATAGACGCCCAGATAACATAGATCTTTTATTTTCAGTAATTATAAAGGTTAATTTCTATATTTAAATAAATTCGGGGCCGGACCGGTAAATTTCTTTAAAAAAAAAATCGAGTTCAAGCCGGGCCGGTAAAACTTTTTTTTAAAAAATTTGGGGCCGGGCTTGGATAGCGTATATACTACTAGATTAGCGATTCGTTCATTAAACGCATCTAAAAAATGTTTAGTAGGTAGGAGCCAAATCAGCTGTAACGCCATTTTGTTTATTTGCAAGTCGCTTAATAGAGATTATAGTAATCTAAAAGACCAGTTAGCGAATGTGCCGGCTCGATTTGGACCGATTTTTAAAACCGGCTAACTCAATATTTTAGCCAGAAAAATATTGACTAAGCCTCGAGTTTCCCTTAATAGATGTTCTAAACTTTGTGTCATCTTTGAGCAAAACCTTAAGTTGCTCAATAACTGGCACTTCAGCTGACTCCTAGGCGTGTCTTTTTTTATTAATGAATTCCCAATCTAGTAATATGCACATGTGAATCATTGCACCCACCATACACGGCACGAATTTCTATCCTAAGCATGTTAGGGATCTGATTGAGATATATAAATTTAATTTTAAAATAGAGAAAATAAAATAAACGACTACATAAATGGGCACAATTATTATTATTTTATAATGAATGAAGAAAAATATGCCTTTTAAACGCAAAAATTATATTTTAAAAAGGTTTCAAAGCTGAATTTATTCTCTTTCGTAAGCAATTCTGTAGAAAAAGTGGATCGACTTTGATCCTTGGACGAGGCCTGGAAGTTATAATTTGCATAAACAAACAAACAAAAAGATTAAACTTTTAGAATCCCAATATATTTTGGCTCCCAAGTAGATCAACAAGCTCAGCAATAATACAGGAAGTATCTTGGAAGAGATGGCTTCCGATACAACTCCGTCGTGGTTCCTGTGATAGCACGTTCCTTTTTTTAGAAAAAAAAAGTAAGCGTCTGAGTATAAATAGCAAATTAAAACGCGATACCGCTAAAGCGGCACCAACGCGTTAACTTTATTTTGTGTCCACCCGTCAGTGTAAAAAAAATGATTGTCACATTTATAGTCGAGCTTATTGTATATGTACACCCATAGGAGGGGTTGGTAAGTTAATTGTCAGAAATATCAAATTAAATTTAAAGGGTCCGCATGCTGAGCACGCCTTTCCACCTCCCTAAATATTTCTAAGAAGAAAATATGAGGTTTCTATTAGCTATTTCATGGGAATGGCAAATTATTGAAACTTATGAATGGAGGTTACCAGAGTTGTTAAAAGATACTTTCTAAATGGATATAGATACAGATACAGATACCACATTTTTATATCTAGATACTTGTATCTAGATCCTTTAACAACTCTGGAGGTTACAAATCACAACCCGTTATTCTTAAGTTAAGCCGTATTATAGTATATTAATACACGACAATAATAATTAATATATTACCTTTAGAGATAGACACAGTCAGATTCAATGGAACCATTTTATGACCGTGGAAGGTTATTTTAAAATATTTTTCTAGCGTTACTCGAATCAACGTCGTTGGATCCGAGAAAAGATCCTCGAAAAACAGTCGGAATTGCATGTGACTGGTATCCTCGCTGGAATATTTATTTTTTTAAATAAAATTGAAATAAGGCAGAAGATGCATTTCATAGCTAATAATTTGCATACTCGTAGTTCACTCTAACTGTAACGAATTTTTCCAAATTTGTGTATAATATGGCGTCTAACTGTTAAAAAAAAAAAAATTATTATAACGTAGTAATATATATATTAGAGATCTGCAAAAGTAGGGCCCTGCCCGTACTCGGCCTAAACCCGGCCCGACGAAAAAGTAAACCGGGTTCGGGGTAGGTCGGACCGAATATTTTTTTAAAAAATTTGAGCCGGGTCGGGTCCGGCTTTTGGAATTTTTTTTAAAAAATATATCTTAAATTCATCAATTTTATGTCGAATTTTTAATGTAAAATTAAAAATATTTGATTTAATTTATAGAAACGAGACGCGTCATATATAACATATATCTTTTATTTTGGAGTAATTATAAAAAAAAATAATTTCTATATTTAAATAAATTCGGGCCGGATCGGTTAATTTTTATTTGAACTTCGGGCCGGGTCGGCTAAGCTTTTTGAAAAAAAATTTATCTAGCTTGAAAGATTAAGTCCGATGCAGATCACTAATATATACATATATCATTTATTTTTTGATTTTTTATAGCTAATAATAGCGATTTCAAATATTTGGTTTTAAAATACACGGTCCAGCCCGGTCCGGCCCAGCCCGGGCTTAGGGCCTCTCCTGCAGGACTCTGATGGGGTTCGACGATTTTATAAACTTGGTGTTCCAAACGTTTTATGAATAATATCTCTTCGCTGAGCTTTTCCTTGATTTCGAGAGACATATTGTG